GCTAACGAAGACTACCTCCAATCAAGTATCATAAAAGAAATTGTTCATAGATTTGTTTTTTTTTACGTGGGAATTGGCTATCGCCATAATTCTGTAATGCAATTTTAAAATTAGCTCCCCCCCTTGAACATCCCCTTTCCCCTATAGTATTTCTTCTTTCTCCTTGGGGGTTTTCTTCTTTCCCCCTTTGGGGCCCCCCTTTTCCCTTTAGGCGTATCCCTTTCTCGGGGTTTTTCCCCTTTGAGGACCCCCCTTCCCCCTAAAGAAAAACTCCTATAAAGCTTTATCCCAAGAGTAACGTCCATCTAACCAAATACAAGTTTTTAATTTCCGGCTTTAATTAAAATATACTTTTTATTCAAGGTGAGCGCGGTTTTACAAACAATAGTTTTCTTTCCGCTTAATAACAATTTTCTCACGCTGTTCAGACAAATCAAGAAAGATGTGTTAAAATGATTTAACAACATAAGTTTTTGCACGTCGGGATATATCTCAATGATAAGTGTATTTGATGGAACCAGAAGAATTGATAAATTATTAGATTATATTAACAATTTAGTTTAAATTTAAATCATCTAATTCATCTTAAAGGAAGTGCAGGAAAGTTAAAGGATTCGGGAAACTTATAATCTTGAAAATATCTTTGTTTAAGAAATTACTGTAAGTTGAAAACTTTTGAAATTAGGAAACTTTTAAGGACCTAGGAACCTACTGGAAATACGAAACTACTGGACTTAGGAAACTACTGGAAATAGGAAACTACTGGAAATACGAAACTACTGGAATTAGGAAACTACTGGAATTAGGAAACTACTGGAAATAAGAAATTACTGGAATTAGGAAACTACTGAAATTAGGTAACTACTGGGAGTAGGAAACTACTGGAATTAGGAAACTACTGTAAATTAGGAAACTGAAATTAGAAAAATACTGGAATTAGGAAACTGCTGAAATTAGGAAACTGCTGGAATTAGGAAACAACTGGAATTATTAAACTATTGAAATTAAGAAACTACTTGAATTAGTAAACTACTTGAATTAGGAAACTGCCGGAATTTGGACATTACTGGGATTAGGAAACCACTGGAATTATGAATCTAGTGAAATTAGAAAACTACTGGAATTAGGAAACTACTGGAATTAGGAAACTACTGGAATTAGGAAACTACTGGAAAAAGGAAACTACTGGAATTAGGAAACTACTGGAAATAGGAAACTAGTGGAATTGGGAAACTACTGGAATTATGAATCTTGTGGAATTAGGAAACTACTGAAATTAGGATACTACTGGAATTAGAAAACTACTGGTATTAGGAAACTACTGGAATTAGGAAACTACTGGAATTTGAAGACTGCTGGAATTAGAAAACTACTGGAATTAGAAAACTACTGGAATTAGGAAACTTTTGGAATTAGGAAACTACTGTTGTTAAGAAAACTGCTAACATTTTGAAACTACTGAAATTAGGAAATTAATGAAATTAGGAAACTACTGGAATTAGGAAACTGCTGGAATAAAGAATCTACTGTAATTATGAAACTACTGAAATTAGGAAACTACTGGAATTAGGAAACTACTGGTAATAGGAAACTACTGAAATTATGAATCTACTAAAATTAGGATACTACTGGAATTAGGAAACTACTGGAATTAGGAAACTACTGGAATTATGAATCTAGTGGAATTAGGAAACTACGGGAATTATGAATCTAGTGAAATTAGAAAACTACTGGAATCAGGAAACTACTGGAATTAGAAGACTGGTGGATTTAGGAAACTATTGAAATTAGGAAACTATTGGAATTAGGAAACTACTGGTAATAGGAAACTGCTGGAATTAGGAAACTAGCGGAATTAGGAAACTACTGAAATTATGAATCTACTGAAATTAGGATACTACTGGAATTAGGAAACTACTGGAATTAGGAAACTACTGGAATTATGAATCTAGTGGAATTAGGAAACTACGGGAATTATGAATCTAGTGAAATTAGAAAACTACTGGAATCAGGAAACTACTGGAATTAGAAGACTTGTGGATTTAGGAAACTATTGAAATTAGGAAACTATTGGAATTAGGAAACTACTGGTAATAGGAAACTGCTGGAATTAGGAAACTAGCGGAATTAGGAAACTACTGAAATTATGAATCTACTGAAATTAGGATACTACTGGAATTAGGAAACTACTGGAATTAGGAAACTACTGGAATTATGAATCTAGTGGAATTAGGAAACTACGGGAATTATGAATCTAGTGAAATTAGAAAACTACTGGAATCAGGAAACTACTGGAATTAGAAGACTTGTGGATTTAGGAAACTATTGAAATTAGGAAACTATTGGAATTAGGAAACTACTGTAATTAGGAAACTTCTGGAATTATAAAATTACTGGAATTAGAAAACGGCTGGAATTGGGAAACTACAGGACTTGGGAAACTACTGAAACTAGGAAATACTGTTATCAAGAAAACTACTAACATTATGAAACTACTGGAATTAGGAAACTACTGAAACTAGGAAATACTGTTGTTAAGAAAACTACTAACATTATGAAACTACTGAAATTAGGAAACTACTGAAACTAGGAAACTACAGAAATCATGAAACTACTGGAATTAAGAAACTACTGTAAATTAGGAAACTACTGAAATTAAGAAGCTATTGTAAATTAGGAAACTACTGTAAATTAGAAAACTACTGTAAATTAGGAAACTACTGTAAATTAGAAAACTACTGTAAATTAGGAAACTACAGTAAATTATAAAACTACTGTAAATTATGAAACTACTGAAACTAGGAAACTACTAAAACTAGGAAACTATTAAAACTAGGAAACTATTACAACTAGGAAACTATTGAAACTAGGAAACTAATAGATGACAGAAGTTCACTATTAAAATACAATCTGCAACATGCTTCATGGTGAATGGTCACGGTTCCAGTGTAGACTGTGAAATATCATCTGTTCATACTCATCCCTTACAGTAAAGAGGGGTGCAGACTTAGTTCCTAGTAAGAGAATACTAGAGGGGTGTAGGCTTAGTTCCTAGTATAGAGAATACTAGAGGGGTGTAGACTTAGTTCCTTGTATAAAGAATACTAGAGGGATGTAGGCATAGTTCCTTGTATAGAGAATAATAGAGGGATGTAGGCATAGTTCCTTGTATAGAGAATACTAGAGGGGTGTAGGCTTAGTTCCTTGCATAGAGAATACTAGAGGGATGTAGGCATAGTTCCTTGTATAGAGAATAATAGAGGGGTGTAGGCTTAGTTCCTTGTATAGAGAATAATAGAGGGGTGTAGGCTTAGTTCCTAGTAAAGAGAATACTAGAGGGGTGTAGGCTTAGTTCCTTGCATAGAGAATACTAGAGGGGTGTAGGCTTAGTTCCTAGTATAGAGAATACTAGAGGGGTGTAGGCTTAGTTCCTAGTATAGAGAATACTAGAGGGGTGTAGGCTTAGTTCCTAGTATAGAGAATACTAGAGGGGTGTAGACTTAGTTCCTAGTATAGAGAATACTAGAGGGGTGTAGACTTAGTTCCTTGTATAGAGAATACTAGAGGGGTGTAGGCTTAGTTTCTAGTATAGAGAATACTAGAGGGGTGTAGGCTTAGTTCCTTGTATAGAGAGTACTGGAGGGGTGTAGGCTTAGTTCCTAGTATAGAGAATGCTAGAAAGATGTATAAAGTATAAAGGATCATTAAAAATTCAATTCTTGTGTAAACACACTAGGGCTGGCCAGGTTCCGACTTTTTGAATTCGTTCTGTTCTGTTCTAGAACGAGTGCCTTCAGCTATATCGTTCGTTCCTTGTTTGTTCTTTTTCCAATAGTTCCATCCACGTTCCGTTCCGTTTCATTCCGTTCTCAGTGTTATTAGTTGAGAACGGTTTCATTCCAAGTGTTAATAAATTATTTATGTAATTTTCTTAAGTGGACTCATCAGACGCTCCCTCTTAATACTGTGCAGTAGTCAAGGGGTGAAAAATAGAGATGGAAACGTTTCTTAACAAATATATTTATGTTTTCATAGGATTTACTACATAATTAATGGTATCAAATCTATATCCACACTGAAGGCCGTTTTGATAAAGCTTTTTTAGTTAAGGGCAAAAGTGAGATTTTAAAGTATATTTTTATATGATGTAATTATACTTTTACATCCTAGAGATTTAATATTTATAGAGTGACATGTCCGATGTATCTTTGAAACCCATTTCTCCATCAATTCTGAAGCAATTAAAATCCATGAATCTCATAGAGATTCATGAAACCACAAATGAAAATAATCAGTTTTCAAAATGGGAAACATGGATGTTTAATGCAATACTTGATCAGACAATTAGCATTGAAGGGTATTGTTGTGAATCAGAATTGAAATTATGTCTGCAGTTACTTGAAACCCCTCAAACCCCTCAATTGATTCTATATTAGTTAATCTGCTTTGTATGTTTGTGAACTTTGAAGAAATGAAAAAAAAAATTTACAAAAAAAAATTTTAAAATTATGAAAAGTTTATAAGTACTGCCTCCAAAATCAAAAATCCGAGTTTTTTTCAACAACTCTCCAGATGCGATTGATGTTAAATGAGCCTGTGCATCCAGAGGGCGTAGGAGAGGGGGGGACGTACACCCAGGCCACCCCACCTCTTACGCCCCTGCACGTTCCTGATAATAAGAACGCGTTCCTGATTTTAACGTTCTTTTCCAGCAATTTTCATTCGTTCCACATTTGTTCTTTTTAATTATTGTTCCAATATTTGTAACAACGTGTTCTATGTGTTCGTTCTTTTTTTCGGAACGATGGGCTCATTCTTGATAATTCCGTTCGGGCTCGTGATAGAACGATCGTTCCCCAGGAACGACGCCTAGCCCTAAATTACACACTACACAGCATAATTGTTGTGGCCTATTTAAATTCTAGCAAGAGTCTTTCAATTCCAAAATTCTATGGAACCCACTTTACTATTTCTCCAGTCTGACATATATTATGTTGGGATAAACAAAATAATTTTATTTATTCTATTGTTTTGGTATCATTTAAAAAATTTAGATTTACGAGTCGTAATCAACATATTTAATATCACTCCTGAATTCTATTGATGTGTCAGTATCCCCACCTGGATACTCTGAATCATCTGAATCCTCTGTTGGAATACTGGAACCTATGTCTGGTCTTGATGTGGGTTTAGTGTTAATATCCGGCCTTGAGGAGCTATCTGTTGAATTTGAAGGATTTAATGTTGGTTTTGGAGGATTTGCTGTTGGTTTTGGAGGATTTGCTGTTGGTTTTTGAGGATTTGCTGTTGGTTTAGGTGGATTTGCTGTTGTTACCGAACCTTAAAAACATAGAATTAATATTGGTCCGAAATGAAATTGATTTGATTCTTGAGAATGGAGCAAAAGAAAATTAAAACGCGGATCATATTAATGTTTAAAAAAAATATTTCTTTAAATTTAATGATTAAATAACCATAATATTAGAAAATATAATTTAAAGGCTCTATTTCAACTGGTGCCATGGAAATACATCAAAAACAACCATGTATTTCCACATTGAAAAATCTGGCTATAGAAATATTATTTTTTAATCTACAATTTTTCTAAATGATTCAATCTTTTTAAATATTCTAATTAGTACCGAGAAACGATATAAGTCGCTACCAGCCTAAATTATCGAAATATTCCTTAATTATGTATTCTTTAATTTCTCACTTTGAATTTTCCTTTTAGCAATAAAAGCTGTTGATAAAGGTTTGGTAGGTTGACAAGGTCTGGAGATCCAACCTCTCCCTGGAGAACTCCCCATACACTCTTCATCAACTCCTTCTGGTTCTCCGGACTCCCACCTCGTAACCTTTAAAGGAATTCTTATTGTAATTCTTCATTTAAAGGGACTGTATCCATATTTCATAGAATAGTAGCCTTTAAACCTTTATCTGAGTAATTATCATGAAGATATCGTCAGTATTTTTTCATTAAAAAGAAATCTTTATTTGCTAAAATAGTCGCAGCAGTAACTCGTAAGTTGTTGAGTTTCAGAGACAAGCGAAATTATGTAAACCTGTAACCAGAATTTTGTAGAGAGAATATACCAGAATATTGATGTATAATATCGTATAATTACGTTTCCAATCCCTTTATTATAGATTTATGAGAAAACAATTAATTCATACTTGAAAACTTTTGAAAAGAAATCTCATTTATAAAACTCATAATTATAAATCAGAAAACAGTAATATTCTATTAGAAAAATAATATTATAAAACTTGTAATCGATTCATAGAGAAAACAGGAAAAACTAAGAGAACTCTTCAATAATACGGATGAAAATGACATAATTGTTTACAAGCGATCTAAAATAAAACTTTTACAGCATATTTAAACAAACACACAATCAACCATCATTCTGTATAAATCAGGACTGAGCTATTTTAAAAATAACCGTAAAATAATTCTATAAATAGTACAAAAAATAATGAGAGAGATAGAAAAAAATATTGTAAAGCTTGACTTAAAAATAAAGCCTTTTTGTCTCATGAAATTGGGCCTATTTAATCCCATCAGAGGTCGCAACTTTTGTGTGAAGGATCAATTAATTCTGAAGTTGAAAGTACCCTTGATCTCAATATCCAATGTTGGCACTTATAAATTTGAGAATCAATGCTTGATCACTCAATCAATGTTATCCCTGCAAGGTCAGGCCACCACGGGATATCGAAAAGTTATTAAATGAATACACAGTTCTGCATAGAACGGAGATCAATAATTGATCCCGTGAGGCACAACACAGAAGTTTGACTCTAGAAGTGGTGGTGGTGGTCATACCCTGCATGGATAACCTTCATTTAGGGATCAATGATTGATCCTTAAATTCAAAAGTGCCCACAATGGATATTGAGATCAAGCGTGAACACGATAGTCCACACTACACAAGAGAGTCGATCTCAGATAAAAAATTTTAAATTGAAAAACATAATCAAAATATCGCTATTTTTTTTACCTTGACAGGAGAACCATCCGTCCAGACCCATTCTCCTTTATATGCTAAACTGTTCCCTCCTAACCATACATCTACTCCAGGGTCCAGACCTAGTAGAGGATACAGTTATACCTGGATACACGTGAGAGAAACGAATTAAAACTAGGTTCGACTGTTTGAGCAACAGTCTGACCCATAAAACTGTGGAATAGGATGACGACATTTGATCAATCTTATGAAAATTTAGTGCTGTGCTAAAGAAAAAGCTGGACCAGTATCTTGAAAATAACTTATTAGGTTGAATAAGTGCTCAGTTCATGTGTCTCATGTTTTTGTACTTTTAAAATCACAATTTCATTTTAACGGTCGTCTTCCTGTAAGAAAGTTAAGCAACAAATAACTTAATTGATTATATCTACATAACTTACATATATTGCACTTCTTGGCTTGAACCGGTACAAGTTTAACCACATTTATAAATTTTCAGCTCATAACTTACACAATTTTAAATTATAAAAACTTACATTGAATTAGCCCTTCAATGAAATCAGCTTCCTTCTCAGATTGAATAGAGACCAGGTTAACCTAATCAATTTGTAAAATTAGACTCATTTAAAAAACTTAAAGACTGTCATCGCAAATGTATGTATATATATATATATATATATCCGATTAACAACAGTACTCTTTGAATAAACCTTTATAGAGTAAATATGAGGAAGAATTTCTAGTTCTTTAACCTGAAAACAAATCAATTCTGTCAAATCCCTTCCTTTTCTCTATTAAATTAATCCGCTGAATAATATTTTAAATCGAAAAACAAGGAAATCTGAAATGTTTAAAAACTTTTTAATTGGAGGGGTTTTAAAATACATATGGTTTAATCTACTTTAGTAGTGACATTAGTAGATTAACTTTTTTCATGAAAAAAAAATGAGATACTGCAGGGTTAGCCACAAAGGATGAGACTTCAGAAACGACTATACGGCAGTAATACTGACTGTTTCCATATATCAAACAATCTGCAACTGTAAACTTATATTTTTCTTGGTCCAATCATTTAAAAGATTATATTCAGAGCAGAAGACTTAATCTAACCTTTGGAATGTCATAGATTAAGAGTTCTAGGTCGTCTTTCCAGTCTCATCTTTTGTGGGTAACCCTGTATATTTCTGATATAACCTGGTGTGTAGGTGTACCAAGAGAGATTGCTCTTGCGTCTGCAATATGCCAACTCAGATCCTTACTCGTTACACTGGTTAGAGATTAAACTCATTAATCCTTCATCATGAGGGTTTATTTTTAAACATGAGGAGAATGATAATATTAATTAATTCCTTGAAATTAAAAGGATTTTTAAGAAACCTTTAATTTCTAGATATCTGATTCACAACGATACTCATAAAATATTTGCCTGATCTAGAGCGACGGAGATATCTTTACTTTTCTATCTTTTCTTCGGGACCCATGTGACGTTATTCTTTTCTATATGTAAATTAAACCTGAGTTCCCTGGTGTTATTTAGACTAATAAGCATATTTTAAAGATTTTTTTCATCAAAAACTATATTTAGCTACTCGAAAAATCTTGAGATTTTTAGCATTTCAATTATAAAAAGAATTTTTATAAATTTTCTATTTAAGTATCATGTTAAATGTATTTCATTTTAAATAAATAATGAATAAAATATGCCGGAGAAATATGTAATCCCTGCAGTACGCTTACTCATTAAATATTTAGATATTAACAGCTTTTAGCGTGGGACGTTGATTCATAAAAAAATTGAATAACAAATGATTTAAAGTTTAATTGCCATGTGTATGACAATTATATTCAAAACTTTACCTCCACATTTTTGCCAAAATTTAGATTTTTTTTCATAAAACTTTAAAAAATAATGAGCTTTTCCTTAAATAGTATTCAAAATCTCCGAATGGAATCCAAACCAGAGCCGTGACCTAAAAAAATTATCTATTACAGGTCATTTTTTCAATCATTAACAGAAAATTCCAATATGGAGACGAAGTAGGTACCTGTGTTTGATTTGTTTAAGACACCCCGAAGTTATTACAAAAAAATAATATTCTTTAGCTCTGAATTCAATTCTTCTTACACTGCAAACTCTGGTTCATTTCAAGTAGTATTGCAATACATAAAGACTATTTTTGGCAAAATGGGACGGTACACCAAATGAATCATTACCTGCTAGTCATGTATAATATTAGTAGTCAATGAGCAATTAAAGGGACTGTCAGCGTAATTTCAAGTGACCCTCCACGCAAAGATGGTAAAGTCCATTCACAATGGTACCTTTAAAAGCTTTGTTTGATCTAGTATGATATAGATATCCATGTTTATAATTTTAAAACTGATTATTTTCAATTGTGGTTTTCTATAATGTGACTTGCGCATTTGTACTGCAGGAAAACATATGGTAATTATCAGAATTAAACACTTTTAAGTCTAGACAAACGACAACATCTCCCACATTATTGATCAGATAAAGGTTTCAAGGTACCGGTGTGGATCGTGCATTACCATCGTTACATTGACGGTAATTTGGAATTACGCTTACAGTTCCTTTAATAATCATTATTGTTGAAAATCACAATAAGTTGAATGGTTTAATGTAATTTGATCTGAAAACGTTACCTGGCTACATATGGGGTTTTCAGTTGTACTCAGAATACCAGGTTTAGTAGAAGGGTTGGATGCACTTGTAGGAGGGTTTGACGCACTGGTAGGAGGGTAGGGTGCATTGGTAGGAGGGTAGGGTGCATTGGTAGGAGGGTAGGGTGCATTGGTAGGAGGGTAGGGTGCATTGGTAGGAGGGTAGGGTGCATTGGTAGGAACAAATGGAATAAGTTCTAAAAAAAACAAAGTTTGAAAACATAATGAATAGTCATATTGAGAACTAGCTGAAGTGCAAGGCCTTGCACATGGAACAAAAAAAAATTGAAATTGTTTAGCCTATGTTACCCCGGGATACCCCTGAGTTCCCTCAAAAAATGTCAGCCCATTCGGTCTAGCCGTTTGGCCGGCTACAGGGAACATATATATGAATGTCTTGCTTTATTATAAATTGTCGATTTTATCTCAAAGACATTTAATAATGATGAGTTTATAATTGCAGTTTTCCTTGATTTCCAAAAGGCCTTCGATCTATAGGTGATCATAAAATATTATTAAAAAACTGCGTAATATAGGAGTAAGGAGGATTGCATTGAAGTGGTTTGAAAATTATTTAAAAGATAGGAAGCAATTTGAAATGGTAAATGGAAAGATTTCTGAATTCTTTAAGACTATTAACATTTCTGTTCTACAGGGGTCAATATTGGGTCCATTATTGTTTTTAATATCTATAAATGATATGGATAAGTCTAATGCCTTATGTAATGTCCATTTTGCTGATGACACGACAGTTCTCTGTAAAAAAAAACATTTCAACAAAATGATCCTTTTATCAACCAAAAGTTGAAAAAATTTAAGTATGGTTATGTTCTCATAAACTACCTATTAATGCGGGCAAAACAAAGTCATGATTTTTTATCCAAAGGGTAAAACCGCTGATCCTAATCTAAACTCTGTATTTGATAACAAAGATTTAAACTCGTCTATCAATCCTGATCCTATTCATCCTGTAGAGAGAATTAAAAATTCTAGTACTTGTCCTGCTTATAAAGTCCTTGGTATTTTTATTAAAATGAAAACTCACTTTTAACTATCACTATCACGTCAAATCTACTTTGAATAAAATCTCTAAAATATTATTTACTCTGAATAAAGTAAAGAATTCCTTGTCTTCTACCGCACTAAAAAGTTTATACTGTTGTTAACCCTAAACAATGAGTTCTCCGTTGTAAAGTCGTCTTTGACTAAGATTTCCTCCCAGAGCCGGAACCCAAACCAAATCTTCTCCGTTAGACAGTATAGACAACCTTCACGTGCAAATACAGTTTCAAAAGTTAAAAAAAAGTTAAAATACTTATAAAAATAGTGATTTACATTTAAAATCAATTGTCATTTTATTTCAGAAGACAAAAAACGTGATTTTAGTACTGTTCAATAACTGGATTATATCCTTTCACCCACTAATAGATCGTAAGGATTTTTTTCATTTTAATAAAACATTACTTTCATAATATGTAAACTTTGTTAATTAAATGTATTTTTCAGGAAATAAAGAAAATATCATTTATTATCGATTTCTGGTTCAGTAGAGGATACGAAGGTTATTCTGTGATTGTTTGAATGTTTTAATGTTCGGGAGCTTCATCGCTTAATCGGGATTATTAGTTTGGAGAACAAATACCCTTTGGTTCAACAACTATCGCTTAAATTCATCCATATTTCCTTTATTGTCTGCCTGTGATTAGCTTTTCATGTAAAAAAAACCATTTTAATCTATAATTTCCTTCTTTCAATCTTTTTTAAATTTTGTTTTACAAAACAGATCCTGCATTTTAGAGAAAATAAACTTTTTTATAATTTTGGGGGAAAAGATACATTAAAGATTTTTTAATCAAAATCTAGAAGACAAAATTAAGAAAAATTCATCATAAGCTCTTATTTATAAATCCCTATATCTTTGCAACCTGATGTGGTAGACCTTAGATATTTTAAACTATGAATTCTGTTAGATTAAATAATCCAAGTTTGAAATATCATAGGTTTACATAATCAGGTTGCAAAAATACAGAGGTTGGAAATTTGAGTTCGTGGCAAAAACTCAATTCCTTTAAATATTTATTTCTGTAAAATATATAGAGCCCAAAACTTAAGACAGGTTATCGTTATGAAACCCAGTATTGGAAACTGGGTTTAAAAAAGGGTGAGGCAATTTTGTAGATATCTTAATATTTTTGGTAAAAATATCATAAATATGGCTGAGAACCCAGAAAGGAAACTCGGGAGTTTCATTCAATTTCCGGTGCAGTACACTGTAAAAACCAGTTCATTTCATGTACCGGGCCGACTTTTAAGGAGCTAGAGCAGGATACTGACTACATATAAGGCAAAGCGGGACAGCCACAAAAAATGAATCATCCCCTTCTAGGGAAATTTATGTACACAGTACAGTACACGATGTAAACCTATGTAAAATACACAGTACACAATGTAAACCTATGTAAAATAGACAGTACACAATGTAAACCTATGTAAAAAAGACAGTGTGCACTCTTGTAAATACACAGTACACAATGTAAACCTATGTACAATATCCAGTATACACTCCTGTAAATACACAGTACACAATGTAAACCTATGTAAAATAGACAGTATACACTCCTGCAAATACACAGTACACAATGTAAACCTATGTACAATATCCAGTATACACTCCTGTAAATACACAGTACACAATGTAAACCTATGTACAATATCCAGTATACACTCCTGTAAATACACAGTATACTGTGTATTTACAGGAGTGTATACTGACTAGTACACAATGTAAACCTATGTAAAATAGAAAGACCTAAAATGTGAAAAGTCCATCTCCACCTTACCATCTATTACACTACACCTTGATAAATATAATGAAAAAAATTGTTACCGATTTGATCCCCGCAGGTGTCGGTGCATGGTTGACAAGGATTCTAGAATTATTTAGAAATATAGTTTTTTTCCAAAGTATTTTTAAAACCTAGGCCACGCCAGAAATACCAAGATACAAAACTTTAACTGAATTCGGACTGTTCCGAGTGTAGGCCTAAGTTCAAGTGACCCTTCGTGCAAAGATGTCAATGCTTGATGTGATGGGTACACTTTAAACATTTGACCAGGAGAACACTATTTGTTTATCTCTTAAATAGTGTACGCTGTGGTACAGTGTCAACTCAGCTGACGTTACATGTATACCTTAAAAGTTCCAAATTTTCTTGCCCAATGAAGTTTTCGAAAATTCAAAAAGTATAAAACAACTTGGAAATCAATTGTTCAACAATTATAATCGATTTTTTAGGTTAATAAGAATACATTCGACATCCTTAATCAGTCAAAGGTTTAAAGTGTACTATTGTAAATAGGATAAGCCACTCTATAAATTATAAATATAATATGTAATGAATAAATATGAATAAATATAAATAAATAAATATAATTTTTCACAAAAATAATCTATGAAATATTCTGGTCATAGGAAACTATTATGTGAATTTTCAAAATTATCAAAATTAAATGCTCTTATCCTCCTCGGATACTAGACGAACACGATGCATCTATTCTTGTTTACAAATTCCGCCCAGAGAGAACTGGTTTCGATATGTACGCAGAGTATACGCGACCGCAATTAACTTTCCTTGCATTAGACCTTGACTTTTACTAAATTATGCTAGAAGAAATTGAGTCTTTGCAGTAAACTTAATATTACTAATCCTTTTATCTTTGTACCCTAATAATGTAACCTTTCATTAGATTATTTGATCTAAAAGAAATTGATGTACTTCGAAATATCTAAGGGTTACGACAAATTGGGTTGCAAAGATATAGGGATTTTAACATCAGAGTTTGAGGCAAAGACTCAATTCCTTTAATCTAATCTTTTAATCTTTTTGCATATATCTTATCTCATGCAGTGTCAAAATTTGGGAAATCCAAAGTTTAGATGGAACCATTTAGACGTTTGTTAAACTGCTCGTATATTTTGGAACCTTTAAATGTGCAAAAACCTAAATAGTTTAACAAAAAAAAGGATCCAAGCTATTGCCCATACTAGTCGTGACAAACTTGTTTATAAATATTTTTTATTGATTTTTTCTAGAAAATGTTTGTGTTGAACCTATAAAAATATGGCTGTTTTGCCAACATTTTATTTCTTTGCCTCAAGTAATTAGAGTGCTACAGTTTTATATTCAGGGTGCTTTATAGGGCAGGCAACCTTTTTCCAAATTCCCAAATAGATTGCTAAATATAATAGATGGCAACGTAGTATTTGTACACTCTCAGTACAGCTGTATTCTTACATCACAAGTGTCAACTCAGTATTGTGTCCGACAAAATTATCAATAATAGTGATAATTTTAGAATAAAGAGCTTATCTTACAGTGAAAAAGGTGCAATTTTATGTGTTGTTCTATAATCTGTTTTTACACTTTTTTATTTAATCTTGAAAAACATGTCAAATAATGTGAGAAAATTTCGTTTCTTTGTTATATTTGACACTTGTGACGTGGTGTATAATTGACCCATGTCTCTGTTGCCACCTATTGTGCTGGATCATCTATCTGCAAATTCCAAAGGTAATGAGATATTATGAAAATATGTTCTAGCCAGATCATGTTCTGAACAATTTCCGCTCTCCAAAACTCGAAAAGGAAAAAATATACCTGATTTTCACACAGATTCCAATAACAGAAGCAGGGGTCCATGCATGGATTCTCATACACAGGATACATCTCATTTGGATACATTTGGTTGGGATACATTTGATCGGGATACATCTGGTTTGGAAACTGATTGTTTTGATTAACTGCATAAACAGGTTGCAATCCTTCAAAAAAATATTTTGTTATTTCCTTTCTTTTTGAATATGTATAAAACTCCATCTTCCGGCCCAGTTTTAAATAATTTGGAGAAAATGATAAACTTCAGACTAAGCTGCTGTTTAGGCCATAAGGTCCAATACTTAAGATGTGTTTTGACTCATTCTTGTTTGAAAATCACCAAATCACCAATACACTAATTTTGGTCTAGCTTTGAAAGTTTGACTTAAGACAACTTTTTTTTTTGTTGCGGCCTTTATTGATTGTAAATTTTGTAAAAAATAATGCAAGAAAATCCTGCAGGGTCTTTACCTTGACATTCAGTCCATAGGTTTGGAAGTACTGCTTGAAGGATCGGAGACTGGTTTACTGGGTATTCTTCATATACAGGATACACACCAGATTCTATATTTGAGTTTATTGGATACTGAGACTCTACTGGATATCCCTGATCATTAAATACAGGATACACACCAGATTCTATATTTGAGTTTATTGGATACTGAACCTCTACTGGATATCCCTGATCATTAAATACAGGATATTTTTGATCATTGTTTACATATCCAGGGATAGCGGGATATTCCGGATATCCTGGTTGATTAGGAGAGTTTTGGAACGGATAGTTTGGATATTGGTTTTCTGAAATAATGGGACCACCTTCTTGGATTGGATACCATTGTTCAGATTGAAACTGCGGTTGTCCTTGAAACTGCAGTTGTCCTTGAAATTGCTGTTGTCCTTGAAACTGCGGTGGTCCCTGATATTGCGATTGTCCTTGAAACTGCAGTTGCTCCTGAAATTGCGGTTGTCCTTGAAAGTGAGGTTGTCCCTGAAATTGTGGCTGCCCTTGAAACTGCGGTTGTCCTTGAAATTGGCGTTGGTCTACAAGCCACTGTTCTGGAAACTGTTGTTGTCCTTGCAATTGCTGTTGCCCTGGAAACTGTTGTTGCCCTGGAAACTGTTGTCGGCCTGGAAACTGTTGTCGGCCTGGAAACTGTTGTCGGCCTGGAAACTGTTGTTGGTCTGGAAATTGCTGTTGGCCTGGAAAAAGCTGAGGTTGTTGTTGTATTCCAAAGGATTGACCCTGGTCCCTCTGGGAAACTGAAAACAAACAGTTTAACAGTTATTAATGACCCCCCCCCCTTCAAATAAAACT